CTTAAATGAATATTCCTATGCAAAAGAAGCTAATCTGAAAAGACCACATACTGGATAATTCCACTGTGACATTCTAGAAAAGGTGAAACCATGCAGAAAGTAAAAAGATCAGTGGTTGCCAGAGGTTGGGGATCGGGAGGGATGAATAGACAGAACACAGAAGACTTTTAGGGCAGTAAAAATACTCTCTAGGATACTATATTGATAGATAATGTCATTACGCATCTGTCCAAACCAATAAAATATACAACACCAAGAACAAATCTCAATGTAAATTATAGACTTTGGGTGATTATGACATGTCAATTTAAGTTCATCAATTGTAAGAAATGTGTCATTCTGAAGGAAGTTGATAATGGGGGAGGCTATGCATGTGTGAGGGCAGGGAGTATATGGGAAATTTCTGTATCTCTTAATTTTGCTGTGAACCTAAACTGCTCTAAAAAAAAAAAATAAAGAATTCACAAAAAGTGTTTTTAACATGGCACAAAAATAAAATCAATTAAATAAAATTTCATTATCATCTACTACTATAGATTTTTTAAAAAAACACACATTTCCATTATTTTTCTGTTTACTGTTTGGAAAGGTGACAATAAATAAGTTTATTAAAAGACATAATATACAACTAAAAACAGTATGAGCTTTGTGCATGCTTTTCAGATATACTGTACTACAATAATATTTTAGGGTATAGTTAAATTTATACTCATAGGTACCAAGCACATATATATATATACGAATGAATATATATGACTTTGAATTTGTTATAATGTCATCTCCTCATTGAGGCTTTCCCTAAAGGCCCTATCTAAAATAGGCATTTTCTATCCCCCTTACTCTGCTTCATGTGTCGATTATCATCAGCCTCTACCAATAAAATGTAAGCTCTGTAAGAACAGGGATTGTCTCTGTTTTATTACAGTTATATCCTTGTTGCCAAGAAGAGCAGCTGGAATATAAACGGTAAATAAATAAGTGAATGTTTGAACAACTACCTTTGAGATAATAGTACAATTTTTTAAATGTTTATGTGGTGAAACAAAAGGTACAATCATTTTAATCAAAACCAAGAGAATATTCATTTCACCAGGACTTTAACTTTTTTTTTCCTATAACTCAAGGGTAGGTGGTATAGAAAGAGTAGGAAGGCAGTTTACACTTAAATCTATTTCTATCAAGTTCCTCTAGGACAAGCTGTGTTCATTCTTAACTTAGTACCATGGCCTAAACCACATTACAATAACAAGAAAATAAGTTCTCTCTTAGAACTGAACACTTAAGATTAACTTGGATTTTCCAAAATCAACTTAATTCACTTTAAGCATTTGTTCCAGTGCAAAAAACAAAGAACGAAATTTTTTAAAAAGTGCATCAAAGCTCAAAGTATAAGCCAATCTTAAGAATCAACCAAATTACTAACCAAGAATCAACCAAATTACTAACCAAGAGAATAGTCAGTCTATAATATTATTTCAATTAGGCCTCTTTAGGAAAGTAGTCAAGGAGAAAAGTCAAAAGAAAACCCAAATCTCTACCAGTATGTGGTTAATTGTTAAAACCTGACCAGAATCCATCCTTCAAACTGCACATCTGATTATCACTCAGCTATCGAAGGGACCTCCAATATTTCCATCAAAGTCTCTTGTGCCTGCATTTTCCTCTCACAGTGGTTTAAGAGCTACTAGCTTATGATTTAACTGCATCCAGTGCAGGATAAGAATTCAAAACAGAAAAAGAAAGACTTAACTGCAAAATTCATTAAAAATAAGATTCTAAAACTCCATTCCCACCCCCCAATAAGGAGGCCCTGGTAAGCATTTTTATCAAGCATCACAGGTGATTGCTATGTAAGCTCAAGTTTGAGAACTAGTACCTTAACTAACTTTTCAAAACTAAGTTGAAGTCACTTACTACATACATGACCAGCCCCCAGGAAGTCAGATTTAATGTCTTTCCTCTGTATTCTTTGAGTATATTACATGTACTTCTCTTATAACATTTACCACATTATCTCTTCCCAACACTCCTCTCCACACCACCCCCCCCAAAATAAATCTTTATGTTAATTCCAATTGACTATGGCAGAGGCGTATGATCTTTTTTACCCCCAACAGACCATACCTCAATCCCAGCTGTAAATTACAGGATGCTACATAAACAAACCATGAAATACCTACAGTTCCAGGAGCTAGCTCTAATCTACCTTTCTCCCACAAATTAGCTTGAATAGTAAAAAGATTTCTATCTGATTTAGGTGGTCTGTAATTTTCAGAAAGGAAATTACAATAAAACATATGGTTTTATTCCATTAGTATAGTTTCAACACACCATTTTCACAACTTGAAAGCACACAAATTCAGAGTGAGCTCAGTATTTTTAGTTTGGTTCATAATCCTAAGGTCATTTGCTCACAATATAAGAATCTTATGGACAGACATCTATTGAGTTCTGGTCTACATAACTTATCAGAGAATGAGATTATAATTGATTAAAACCAAAATAAAATCAAAATGTTCCAAGAGATGTTTTCCATTCTGGAGTAGTATTTAAGATAGTAGTGAAATACTTGGCCAAACATATGGACAAAGATTTCAATTACTACTTACATGATGTAAGAAAAAATGAAAAGAGGAATCATAAACAAAATCAAACTTAAACCAAAATGGCTAGGTAAAAAACCCAGTGGAAATCAGACCAAATTTAATCAGAAACATGTACCTATACTGAAAAGTTCTGAGTTATAGGACCATAATGTACAAATAAAAAGGTTATTTAATCCTCATTAAGTCCTTCTCTTAACTAGGAGGAATTTGGAATTCATATCAAAATTGAATGATTTTTCCAAATTCATATAATAATGGGGAGAATCTGGGTCTTCTGAGTTCAAGTCTAAGGTTTTTGCCATTATATCATTAGGCTCAACTAATGCAAGAGGTTCTGATTTCAATCAAGCTGAATCTTACATAAATTCAGCCTATGTTCACTTCATTTAATGGTTAAATCCTTTCTTTTGGAAAACTTCAAGCATTGACCATATTTGCACATATAGACATTATCAATTTCATAGCTGGGAAAGATAAAACTCAGTCAAGTAATTAACTCAGAAATAAAAGCAATGCCAGAATGCAGAGAGCCAACTAGCTGGCCCCTGGTAGTTCGTTCTAAAGTGACATTTGGAAAAACAGCATGAAATTACATTACTTTCTAACATAACTACCTCTTTTGAGCTGGCAATAGAGGGATTCCACTTTTAGTATTTCTGAATACTGGGAACAAGTTCACATTCAGCTTTTCTGCGACTGCGATGAATTTAAGAATTTTAATTACACTTTATCTTCAACTTTTCAGAACAAGAAATCAAAGAAATATGAGTTTTAGGTGGGTAGGAGGTGAGTGATTGGGCTTTGGTTCTTTCCAGTTCTATTGTTCCTCTTTGTCTACACTCATTAACACAAAGGAAAAGAAACAAAACTCCCTTAATGAATACAAACCATATTATTCACTGAGGTTTGGAAAAAAAAACAAAAAACGCCCTCAAAGAGAGAGATTTTGCAGGTCTTTGGTTTTTTTACATTAAGTTTCTGAAAGTCATTCAAAAGTCAATCATCACACACAGTAACTTAATGTTACAATATTTGGCCCTGAAAATATATGGCAAAAGGAAGCTGAATTCCAAGACAGAAGCAAGCCCCTGCATATGTGGGTTTGAAATCTTTTATGTAGTCAAGAAAATGACAATGTTGAACTTTATCAGAGTCCTGTGATTTTGAAAAACAGCAAAGGTTAAGAACTCTGCCACTCCTTTTGTGTTCTGGGCTTACTACAAAGAATCACTGCTCCCCAAAGAATTAAATTAATCTCATTTAGCTTAAAATCCTACCACCATCCCTTGTTTACTTATGACAAGGCCAGATCTGACCCTTCTAATTCCCATTCTCTGCCTCATAAATGCCTTGCTGAACTACTTGTCCCCACAGATCAATAGTAACAAAATGCTTATTAACCAAACTTTAAGATTCTCTTCTCCTAGGCCTCTGGACTTTGACCTACCCTCAGCCTGAAACAGCATATACAAACCTCAATATATATATATAAACCCTCCTGAACAGTTCTTTCTCATAATAGGCTGGCCTCAGGCTAAAATATTCTCTGGTTATACCACCCTTGCAACCTACTTCCCCACATCCTACTTCTTTCTAGCCTTACTTACCCTTTCCCATAAAAGGCTTTTTACCTAACCTTTGAGACGCTTGCAGATTTTATGGTCAAGGCATTCCCCCTATTGCAATAGTTCCTTCCTCCACACCCTTGCAAATATTCCTTTCGAAGAAAGTATGTCCCTTACTAAATTTGCATTTTTTATTTGACACCTTTTCCAATCCTGAAGTGACTGAGTTTGAACGATAAACGGACTTTGCCCTTTTTTTAAATGACAGGTGTTGACTCTCTTGAAGAAGGGGACCCTCTGTGTCCACTTGGAGAGGCCAAAAACATCACTAAGATCTTAAGTTCTTCACCACTGCCCTGCGGCTGAGAAAGGTGGTGGAGAGGTGATCGTCCGGGCAAGGTCAACACTAGGACCACCTGGCGCCACAGGCCATACAGAGTGAATGGGCCAGGAACAGGCAGGCTACCTCCTCCACACTCCCCGACAGATTCACTTCCACCTCCGTTCCGCTAGTCTCGCGGCCCGGCAGGACCGATGCTGCTTCCGCCAGGGCTCAAGCACTCTGGGGCAGGTGGTGGGTCGTGTCCAGCAGCTCATCCCAGCGCTCCAGCCCGTTCCATTCTGAGAAGAGCGCCCGACCCGCTCTTTTCAAAGGACTGATCTCCCGGCCCGTTTTTCCCCATTTCTGTCACTCTGCCCTCACAGAAGGACTCACCATGACGCCTAGGCTAGGTCGTGGGCCAGGCACCCTGGAGTCACCGGAACCGTCCCAGACCTCACCTCCGCGCCCTGCAGCCGAGAGCCTCTGGAAACCGCGAGGGAGAGGATCTTCCGGTTCTGCCGGAAGTTCTGCCCGCGCGGGACAGGAAGTTCCTCCCCTCTCCTGAACGCCATCGACCTCACGCCGCCACGCAGAGGTGAGGATACGCAGGACGTCCTCTAAACTAAAGCAACTTCCGTGGGTGCTAAGTTAGGGGCTAGGGGCGGTGCTGACCTTGAGAGCGCGCGGGGGAGGCGCAGGCGCAGCGCAGGTAGGTGGGCGGGCGGAGCGGCGTTGCTGCGCCTGCGAGGAACCTGAGGTGGGTTGGGTTTTTTCGGCAGGAGTGCACCCTGAAGCTGGAAGGTGGTGCAGGCGCAAGTTGATGGCTGGGGTGGGAGTCGACCCCAGATGCAAAGGATTTGGTGAGGGTGAAGACCACAGTTACCGTGCGCGTGCTGAGACAGTACTGTAATCGTCTCTGCTTAGCCAATGCCTTTTCTCTTTTTACCCTTTCATTTTCCTGATTCTGCCCCTTCTTGGAGTCTTTCTTCATCTCTGTAGATCTGTCCCTTTGTCGCTTCTGTGCCCTATCACTATGCGTTCTCCAGCTCTACCCTACCTCAGGGCAGTTGAATCTGGTCGCGAGAAGTTTCTTCACTATTCACACATACCAGCTGAAGCCAGAAGGACATCTACCAAGAGCAGACAGAAACCAGGAAGAAAATTCTGTGTGTTTATTACATTCCAATATGGAAGGTTTCCTTTTAGTTAAAAAAAAAAAAAAAATGGAAAGAAATGAAACCCCCTGTACTTCTTAATTTTGTGGTTTTTTTCCAAAATCTATACCAGTCAACTTTTCCTGACTTTTATTTGATTATAATGAGACATAGTACTGGAGGCAGGCTTGAAATGGATATACAGAGCACCTTCAACCCAGAAATCTTTCTCACAATTTAGAGATTCTTACTTAAGTCATGGCTATCTGTAATTTCATCCATGAGAATTTTTTTTTTCTTTTTGCCATATTGTCAAGTTTTATAATGAAGTAGGAATTGGGGAGGTTGAAACTAAGCAGCTTCAGAAGTTAAGAAGGTTTAGCAGGCAGGGGTAGCTATGGATGTTAACTTTATCAAAGTACGTGAACAGAATGGTATCCAAACTATAAATAGCCCAAAGATCTGGGGAATCAGGGTTCTCAGACATTCCAAATAAGCATGCCTAGGGCAGTTGCTTTATATTAGAAAAGGGGACAGAGACTGAATATATGAGTGAGTATATGTAGTCTTTTACTTTAAATTTTGTTTTGTCAATAGCATGAGAAAGGAAATATAGGAATCATAAGTATTGACAGAAACTGCTGGAGGTGGGATGGGGCAGGGGAATAGGTTTGTGAAACAGATCCTGCTAAGGATGTATCCAGAACTTCCCTGAGGGTTCCACTTCTGCAGTATGGGGACAAGGTTGTAAATAGACTAGCTCCAGGGCATCTGCAAATGGTTAGTGTAGTAGAGAAGGATTGGAATTGTCTGGTGCTGTATCTGTAGGAAGCAGCTGCTATCCTTGAGGAAGAAAAGGTGGAGAAGGAAAGTGGCTATCAGCCTGTCAGAGACAACACATCCTGTGAAGTCTTACTCTTTCATTTCTGACACTGTGGTTCTTACATCTGTCCTAAACCTGGCAGCCTCATTGAGGTTCACAGAGCATCTCCTTCTATGTGACAGTAAAACTGGAATTAATATCAGGATGGAATCCATTCCTGCCAGAGTAAAACCATGAAAAGAAATCACAGTCAGTTTTTGTTATTTGCTTATCATTTTTAATAGATCACAGGTTCTATGTTCCTTATTTGGTATATGGCAAGTTGATAAATAACCCTTGGTTAATATCCTTTAATATTCATGTTTCTCACAGTTATCTTTGTTACAGTATGAAAAATCTGTTACATAAGTACTGTTTTTTTTAATGATTAAAATGTATGTATGTTTTAAAGCAGTGTTGCCCAGTGTTTTTTATTCTATAGAATAATGTCTTCTATTGGTTGCCTGCCTTAAAGTAGAGAAATTTGCCTGTTTCCATTGCTTAAAATAGGTAGTCATCTTTGACAAAGATACAAAGAAAGGGGAGAATTATGAAAATAAACAAAAGATATAGGTGATGGAGATTAAAAAGAAATTTAGTAGTTTTGGCAAGAGAGTTAGGAGGGCAATCTTTGAGAAAAGTCTTATTTGCTTACCATAGGGCTTTGTGATGAGTTGAATGTCCCATGTGACAACTGTTCTCAAACACTTACAAGCACCAACAAAAAGTTACCTCCCCTGACAACAATCCCACAGACTTGGAACTCAATCAACAATATATTTCACAAAATGTTCTGATTAGTTTCTCCTCTAAGAAATTTCTGCTAGTTTTTCATAATAAGTGTGAATATTATATGCTTTCTTTGTAATTTTTTTTCCTACTGTAGATTTGTTTTCCTAATTGGATTATAAATGACTCAAGAGCTGGGACTTTGTTTTGTTTTGTTTTTTGCCCACCCTCCCCTTAATAAATATTATTTAAATGAACATGATAGACAAAAATATTCCTGTAAATTACCCCTAAAATGCTTTATGTGCCAGGCATAGTGGCTCCTGCCTGTAATCCAAGCACTTTGGAAGGCCAAAGCAGAAGCATCACTGGAGGCCAGGAGTTTGAGACCAGCCTGAGCAACACCGCAAGATCCCATCTCTTTAAAAGATAAAAATTAGCTGGACATGGTGGTACACACCTCTAGTCCCAGCTACTTGGGAGGCTAAGAGAGAGGATCACAAGCCCAGGACTTTGAGGCTGTAGTGAGCTGCAATGGAACCCCTGCACTCCAGCCTGGGTGACAAAGTGAGACCCTGTCTCCAAAAAAAAAAAAAAAAAAGCTTTATGGACAAAGATGTTAATTATAGCAATGCTTATCTACTTATAATGGTAATAAAGTTGGGAACAATCTTATGTTCAACAATAAGATTGGTCAATTCTGTAATATATGCTTAATGGAATATTATCTAGTTCTTTTAAAAAGCTGTTAGATTAATCTTTCAAATGGAAGATGTCTATTTTCTAAGTTAAAAGGACTTTTTATAGACTATTTCTATACCCCCAGAATTCATGTGTTGAAACCTGAATCCTCAATGGCATAGAATTAGTAGGTGGGGCCCTTGGGAGGTGATTAAATTATCAGGGTGGAACCCTCATTGATGGGGTTAGTGCCTTTAAAGGAGAAATACCAAAAAGCTTGTTTCCCTCCTTTCTCTGCTTTCCACCATGTGAAGAGAGTCCAAGAAGGCAGCCAACTACAAAACAGGAAGAGGGCCTACACTAGAACTTGATCATGCTGGCACTCTGATCTCTGACTTTACAACCTCCAGAACTGTGAGAAGTAAGTTTCTGTTATTTAAGTCACCCATTTATGATAGTTTTATTATACAATAATAATACCCCAAATTAAGCCACAGCAGGATGTAAAATTGTACCCAGGGCAATTACTTTGACATGCAAAAATCCTAAGCACAAAATAAAAAGTAACCAAAATATCAGGCACCAGTCCTGGCATTAATACTCTAAAACAACCTTTCTGTATTTGGGATTTTTAAATCTGCGCACTTTCTTTTACTGAAGCAAAGAATGTATGACAGTGTTTTTTTATATTCAAAATTAGTTTGGAAAAAATATTATTCAGAAATATATTGCAATCTTTTAACAATTCAGTAGATTTCCTCTGAATTTTTTCTTTATTTCCATGTTTCGTACCATAGTTGTACCTAGGATTATACCACATATCTGAGTAATTGATAGAATAACCCCTTAAAATTTTACACAAGTTGTACAATCCACAATTTCAGGAACCACTAACATACATAATGGAATTTTAATACCATTTGATACCTTTTTATATCAGGAAAGACTTTAAACAACCACTACCATCAAGAGCCATACAAAAAATATGAAATTACTTATGTGACTAAAACCTAAATTAGCTTCATTTATTCATTATGTATTCATTGAATATCAACTGTGTACCAGTCACTGTTCTGCACTCTGAGGAAACAGTGGTATAATAAAGCAGACGTGCTAGACACAGTGGCGTGCACCTGTAGTCCCAGGTACTCTCTAGAGGCTGAGGCAGGAGGATTGCTTGAATCCAGGAGTTCTGGGCTGTAGTGCGCTATGCCAATCAGGTGTGCGCACCATGTATGGTATCAATATGGTGACCTCCTGGGAGTAGGGGACCACCAGGTTACCGAAGGAGGGGTGAACTGGCCCAGGTCGGATAAAGCAGACATGGTCCCTACTATTAGGGAATTTACATTTTAGTAGTAATAATAAATAAACAAAAATATAAGAAAATGATAAGTACTAGGCAGGAAATAAAAACATGACTATTTAGATTACATGATTTAGGCAAGCTAAGAAAGTACCACGTAAGCTGCTATTTGAGAAGAGAATCCATCTTTGTAAAAATTGGGGAAACCATTGCTTGCAGAGGGACAACAGTGCAAAATTAACTTGGAATATTTCAAGAGCCACAAAAATACCTGCATGGTTGAAGCATAGTGACTGCAGACTAGAATACTGTAACTTATGTTAGCTTTGAAAGCCAGGTAAGAGCTTAGATTTTATTTTAAGCACAATGGGAAAAAAAATGAGAACATTTTAACCTTAGGAGTGATATGAAATAATATATTTTAAAATCTAATTTGATAATATTTGTTTTTTAATTGGAATAGTCTGCCTACATGTAATACATTTGGACTTAAGTGTATTATTATTTGCTCTTTTTTTATTTGTCCTACTTCCCCTATATTCATTTGCTCTTCTTTTGCCTTTTAGATTGGTTATTTTTAATTATTCCATTTCTCCTACCACATAAGTTGGGCAGTTATATATCTTCTAGTATTCTTTTAAGGGTTTACCTCAGATATTAAAACATGGAACCTTAGTTCATCAACTTCTAATATATATAATATTTGGTATTGTACCTCTTCCTGGACAATGTAAGGACTTAAGAATATTTCAACTTAATTTACTATCCCACCCCATGTTATATACTTTGTGTATTCTTAATATGTATTTCCTAAATTCTCAAGACATTATTATTTTTATACAGGTAGTGTACATTTGCATTTACCCAAACATTTCCCTTTTTATGTTGCTTTGTGATTCCTTGTGTGTGAACATCCATCTGGGATCCTATTTCTTCTCTCTGAAGGTCATACTTTAGTATTTTCTTTTGTGAATGTCTGCTGGTGAAAGGTTCTCTAAATTTTTGTATCTTGAAACTGTCTTATTTTGCTTTCATTTTCTAGGAACATTTTTGCTAAATTGGCAGCTAAAATTATTATAAATTTTATAAAATTATTTATAAAATTATAAATTTTAAATAATAAAATTTATTTTGAATATACATTCATTTTATTGCTTCTGGCTTCCATTATTTCTTCTGAGAAAGTCAGTTTTAGTTTTGCTTCTTCAAAAGTAATCTCTTTCATCTTGTGGCTGCTTTTAAGATGTTTGTCTTAAGCTTGATGTACCTATGTGTTGCTTTTCTTTGTTTTTTGTTTTTCTTTTCTTTTTGAGGTTTATAATACTTCTTGAATCTGGATCTGATGTCCTTAGACTGTTTAGAAAATTCTCAGCTTATCTCATCAGATTCTGCTTCTGCTTTCACTCTCTTCTTTCCCTTCTTCTTCAGGTACTCCACTTATATGCGTATTAGACTACCTCATTTTATCCTTTATGTTTTCCATTCATATTTTTTCTCTTTATGTTTTATTCTGGATAGTTCTGACCATTTCAGTTCACTATTTTATTTTTAATAGTTTCTAAGCTGTTAAAATATCAGTTGAAGCATTTATTTAGCTTTTTGGTTGTTGTTAGTTCAAGCATTTCTGTTTAGTTCTGTTTTATTGTTTGTAGTTATTTATCCAATATCTCAATCTGATCTTTTATTTTTCTCAAACATAATAATCACAGTTATTTTAAAGCCTGTGTCTAATAACTATGGGGTCTGCCATTATCTGGTGCTTGTCTTGTTTCTTTATTGACGTTGTTTATTACATTGTTTTTTATGTCCTTTATTTTTATGTCCTTTATTTTTATGTTATGTTATTTTTATATTATTTATGTTTATTTTATAAACATTATATTATAAATATAGTATAAAATTTGGCTATTTTATGTTATGTTGTTTTTTATTGAATATCAGAACTATTTTGCTTGAATTGTATATGAAGAAATTATACCTTGAAGTCCAGTATGATGATATTTTATAAAGAAAGGATTCATGTATACTGACAAGGGTTTTGGGTGCTAGTAATCTAGGATCATCTTAATCTAATTAGTAATTGAGATGATTAGAAACTGGGCAGGTCTACTTTTAGTTCATACATTCTCTCAGGATGTAGATCTTTGAGATCCTAACTCAAAGCCTGCAGAGTTTACCAGAGCAGACCCTGAACTCCAATTTTTGTCTTTTTAACTCCTTGAGTTAGAAGATCTCTCCAGCTTCTTACCAATCATCTCAGGAATTAGCAGATACCTTGGAGAAAAAGATATTATAAATGCTGAATTCAACAACTCTGTTTTTTTCTTCTGGATTTTTCACTGTCTCTAATGCCTTCAGATTTTTGTTTTATATTTTGTCCAGCTTTTCTAGTTGTTCTCATAAGAAAGACTAGTCTAAATTACCCAGCCCATTGTTACTAAAAGTAGAAGTAAAAATATTGTAAGGACATGAACCATTTACAGAAATTAACTATAAAAGTCTTTAAAATTTTCAAATAATTGCTATTATTTAGATCACATTTTCTAATCACCATATAATTAAGCTAGAAATCAATAACAACAGAAGTCTAGAAAGCCTTTCTTATTTGGAAAATAAGAAACCCACTTCTATGTAGGATGGGTCAAATTCAAATAAGGATTCTCACTGATAAATAGAAAATACATATTCAGAAATGAACAATGACAAAAAACTACATACTTGCTGTAAAATGCAGCAAAAACAGTACTTTCAGAGACATTGAAAACCTTAAATACTTAAATTAAGGAGGACTGAAAATTAAAGAGCTAATAATCTAACCTAAGGTATTGGAAAAGAATGGAAGATAGAAGAGAAAAAATTTAATAAGTGAAACAGAAAGCAAATAAGTGTTCAATGCAGAGGAGTAACAATCAAAAATTATAAAAATTTTAATTTTTTATTTTCTTTAAATTGATACATTATAATTGTACATATTTATGGGGTATAATTTGGTGTTCTGTTACATATCTGTGTTATATAATGACCCAATCTGGGTTCTTGGTATATCCCAAAATTTTATGTTTTAACAAACTAATAGCATTTCCGAATCTTTTACATGATTGCCCAAGAAGGAAAAAGCAGACACAAATAAAGAATATTAGAAATGAAAATGAGGACATTATTACAAATGCTGCAGAGATTGAAGAGAAATCATGAAGATATTTATAATAATAAATGGGAAAACATAAATGAAGTAGATAGCTTCCAGAAAAATAATAACATTTCAAAATGTATGCAAAAAGAAATAGAAAATATAGCCTGATACCTGTGTAAGAAATTGAATCAGTAGAAATTTTCCAACAAAGAAAGCATGGTGATATGATACTTAGGATTATAAATAAAACCATACTAAAATGCAGGAATAAAAATATTTAACAAATGTATACTGTACATGTGCTTTTTAATTAATGCATTAAATAACAAAATCTAGTGGAGGGTCTGATAATATGTATAATTTTGAAGTAATGGACTCCAGTTGTATCTTGAGATATCTACAACTATATATAGTAACATGACAGGAAAATATTTGTGATTTTTATAGGTGAAAAGAGCACCAATACTTCTAATAACACTGTGGTGTATTATCTATGCTCAAAGTTGAAAGAAATGCTAAATTTCATTTAGAAGTTAGCAAAAATTAAGGTTATAATATTTTTCCCACCCAAATTCACAGCCCTCTACTTTATAATCTTAATTCATAGACTTTCTGACGTATGTATTACTTCAGAGACATTCTCCACCCAACTTCCCATTTTCTGGTTTGGGATTATATGCAAAAAGTAATACATAAATAACTTAGTTTATTAGAAATAGAAAATGTTTTTCCACATGATGTACTTGAGTAGGAGGTGAGAAATGGAAATGTGTGAAAATATCCAGAGGTACATATAGACAATGGGAAGGCTGGAACTGCTTTAGGGTGTTTTATGCAAGAGGTTTAAAACTGGTTCCAAACATGTACTGACACATGCAGTCCTTCATAAAAGGGTTCATTATTGATACCACAGTGCCCTATAGTATAGTATTAATATTTGTCAATACCTGTAGCCATGCAACAATCAAAAATGAAAATTCAAATAGCTGGACACCTTTTAAAAGTTGTATTGGGCTAAAATCAAAACACCTAACAAGTGTTTGACATGCCTTTCTCATGATTTAATGTCCCAGCAGAGCAACTGGGGAACCTAATTCTGACCAACAAGGAGGAATTGCTTGGCTAATTGGAAGTGACAGAAACCTTGGGAGAAAGCAACCACATACCAAGGATAATTATAAGAAGGTAATATGGGCCCTAAAGGATAGTGTCAAGAAACCTGAAGCCCCCAAATGAGGTGAGACTTGCAAAAAATGCTAAAAGAGGACAAAGAACAAGCCTTTTAAAATTCTGTTCAGAACCAGAAGATGATCAAGGAAGGGAAAAGCCCACTTGCAGCTTCTGGTGTAAGGTTAGAACTGATAAAGAAAGTGGATTTCCCTAACTATTATTTGCTTCATTTTCTACAAAGAAAATTTGAAAAGTGGGTTGACATAATAGAAAGAACATGTGTTTGTAGGGTCAGGCAAACCTGGGTTTGAATTCTCTGTTAAAATTTATGGGAGCCCATTATTTTGGACAGAGCTCCTGCACTAGGCCCTACCAGAGCAAACCAAAATGGTGTCACTCATGCTAAAATTCCAGGTCGCCAAACCAAAACTAAGTTTTTTATCTGACCTTCCAGAAATCAGAAGAGAGACAATAGCCAAATTTTCAAACAGGCCAGTTTTAGCTAGCATGATAAGGAAGTCCCCTCATCTTTAACCCCATAAAGAAAGTAACTTTGATATGACCAATTCACTTTTTATTCCTTATTTTTGCCTTCTTTATCCCTTTTCTGCCTAGAAAGACCACCTCCTCTGCTTAGCTTATCAGAGCACCTAGTCTATTTCATAAAATGACATGGTGCCCAATTCCAGAATCACTAATAAAAGCCAATTAGATCTTTAAATTTCTAGAAATTTTGTCTTTTGACAACATTACTAGCTACCTTACTTAGATTGTCCTTTTCCCCATCCATAAAATGGAAATAACCATATCTTTCTCATAGGATTGTTCTGAGTAATGGAAGTAACACATTCAAAACACTGAGCCGGGCTAACAGTGGTGACTCAATAAATAGCAACCTGTTAATATTACTCAAAAGCATGGTATAAATATTCCCAAATAGGGAAAGAAATTCTAAGAGAGTGCTTAACAGTTTGAATTTAGTTTATATCATCTGCTATGAATGGTTTACATTCTAGGCTTTGGAAGGGTACAAGTAGGGGGTACAAATGAGATCTGAGAACAGTGGTCCCCATCTTTGAGGAATTACAGAAAACAGAATAGGCCCTGCGACACTAAACATGAGAAAATGTCTGGCTTCAGGATAAAAAGTAGAAATCTTAAATCTTGACTTATTTGCTTTTTGACTAAGTGACTTCCTCCCCCACTGGTGTCATATTCATTTGGCCCAAAGAAGGGTAAATTCCCAAAACAACTGAAACAAAGGAATGGATTGAATTTATTTCCAAAGAAGTGCTTACAATAGAGACACAAGTCTTGAAAGCTAAGGTGATGGGGGGGAAAAAAAAACAAGCCTTGAATTTCTTCAAAGCTTCAAGAGGCAGAGCTTGAAAGAAGGAAAAAAAAGTATTCTTAAACAAGATGTGATAGGTTGAATGGTGGCCCCCCAAAAGATATATCAGGTCCTAATCCTGGAACCTGTGAACATCATCTTATTTGGAAAAAAGTCTTTGCAGATATAGTTAAGAATTTTGAGATGAAGAGATCATCCTGGATTATCTGGCTGGCTATAAATCCAACGACATGTATTGTTATATGACAGAAAAGACATGGAGAAGAGGAGGGGGCAATGTGACCATGGAGGCAGAGATCAGAAAAATGTCACAAATCAAGGAATGCTGACAGCCACCAGAAGCTGGAGGAGGCCAAGAATTGACTCTCCCTTAGATCCTCCAGAGCAAATACAGCATTGTTGACACCTTGATTTCAGAATAATGGCCTCAAAACTATAAAAGAATAAATTTCTGTTGTTTTAAGCCACTAGTTTGTGGTCATTTGTTATGGTAACCCTGCAAAGTTAAATCGGAGTTTAAACAGAATCCAGTAATATCTCAAATAGACTTGTGTATTAGTCAGGGTTCTCCAGAGAAACAAAACAAATAGGATATACATATTGTTAAAGCAAATTAAAATGGATCCTGGGCCTGAAGAATCCCTGAGCAGACAAAACCAGTTAGGCCTCATAAGTTAAACTTGCTTGATTTGCAAACACACGTGAAACTTAGTCTGAGCTATTGCTTACAAATGAATATATTTTTTAAAAAGCAGAACTTAAGCTCAATCAATCACAAGCAGTCAAACTTAATAATTCTATAACTAGGGACTTTCTAAAAGGATAGATCAATAAGGCAACTGTATAACTGTGACCAATCAAATTTTTTTGCTCTACTTTCATGTTCCTCCCATAAAAGCCTCCCACCTCTGTTCTATCAGTGAAGCTCCCAAACTGCTTCTGGTGTGGAGTTGCCTGATTCATGAGTTGCTACTTGCTCAAATAATCTCTTTAAAACTTTATTGTGATGCCACAGCACTCTAGCCCGGGCAACTGTCTCAAAAATAAATAAATAAATAAAATGTATTGTGCCTCAGCTTCTCTTTTGATAGATGATAGATAGATGGATGGATGGATGGATGGATGGATGGATAGATAGATAGATAGATAGATAGATAGATAGATAGATAGATAGATAGATAGGAGTTTTATTTTGTGAATTGGCTCATGCAATTATAGAGACCCAAGAACTTCTGTCTGCAAGCTGGAGATCCAGGAAAGCCAGTGGTGTAATTCAATTCAAGTTCAAAGGCCTGAAAACCAGGTGAGCCAATAATGTAATCCCCAATTCAAGGCCTGAGAATGGGGAGAATAGTGCTGGTGTGAGTCCTGGAGTCTGAAGGCCCAAGAACTAGAAGCTCTGATGTCCACAGGCAGGAGAAGATGGATATAGCAGCTCTAGAAGATAGCAAGTTCACTCTTCTTCTGCCTTTTTTGTTGTATTTGGGCCAGCTCCCAAATAGATAGGATAGATTAGATGATGTCTACCCAGAGTCGTGAGAGCAGATTTTATTTACTCAGTCTAATGACTCAAATGCTAATTTCTTCCAGAAACACCCTCACAGAGGCACCCATAAATAATATTTTACCAGCTATCTGAATATCTCTTAACACAATCAAGTTGACACACAAAATTAATCATCACAATTAGTTTTCCTGGATTGGAGGGAGTAAGAGCTGATGAAACAGGTGGTGGGAGGGTGGAGAAGGTTTGAGGGACTTCTTGAAGAACTATGTGAAACAGAGTGAAGGCAGTGAATTACCAAATACAGTCTCTGCTCTGACAGATTACCAAGGTTTGAAAGAGGACTGTTAGGGTTACTATGTGTTACCAGAACCATGAAACCATGTGGCAGCTAAGCCAATATCCAAAGATCCCCCAAAGAGTATTTCATGTGCTCAGAGACAGTGACTCTGTTTCATTGACAAATGCTTCCCACTCTCCACCCCCTTAATCTGGAGCAGGAGTAACAGCTGTCTGCAAGCAGATACTTTACGCAATTCCATCTAAGCTACTCACAGTAAAAAGAACTTTTTCAATAGTCCCAAGTATTCACATCTTCAGAAATACAAAAAAGATCATGGACAACTAAAGGGCTTCCAGTGATATAAAATGGAAATTCATATCACTTGGAAACCTCCCTTCAATCTTTACTTGACTGAGACATTCATTATTCATTCAGCTGAGATTCTCTAATACCTATAATCTCCAGTCAAGACCATGTTGATCCTAGGCAAGAATCTGAAAAGAATTATTAAAGGATTCTCTGGGAGCATCTATAAGAGAAAGAGATGCTCTGGGAGCATCTATAATCAATGCAATACAATATGGGTTTACCAACAATAATTTATTTCAGTATAATTTAATTTTCTTCCTGACAAGGTCATTATGCTAGTCCAGTAAAATGCAGTAGGCAGTATATATCTAGGCCCACCAGGTATTACTGACATTTATCATCATATACTCGTAAGTTGTGATGGGGAGGCTGGATGATAATACCTTCAGAGAATGACTTAGCACCCGAAGGATACTGACTCTGGGATGGCAGTCAGCCTCTCCAAAGGTTTTTACTATAGATCCACAGTCCTCATTGGGTCAACACTGTATTTCGTTGACTTGAATGAAGATATAGAACACATATTTACCAAATCTTTACCTGATTCAAAGTTGAGAAGGATAGGGTGCTTTCCAAACTTTAGAACAACTTGATGTTGACTCTGGGCTAAATTCTAAATGGACATAATTGTCCATTGTCCATAATTGTCCATAGATGTCACAAATTTATGGAATATCTACTCTGTGTAAATATCCATATTAGGCTTTAGAATATTGAATAAGGTATTGTCCTTTGACTATAGGAGTTTAAAATGTGGTGAATAAAACAGATCTGTAAGAGATAAAATATACTACAACATAAATATTAATTATAAAGCATTATATTTAGTAAAAATTTAAAAAAATCAATGATCTATATTAATTGTATGAGATGGATGGGAACCGAGATATGTGGAACACCTTTAGACATTTAATAAGCTGGAAAAAATTTGCCACAAATGAACACTTATATACTGCTGGTACAACATAAAATAGTAATTTTGTGGAAAGTTATTATGTATAAGCCAAATTGCTGTACTATTTGATGCAGCAATTTTCTTCTAGGAATTTACTTTAAGAAATAATCTAAAATATATTCATAAAGTTATAAGGAAGTTTATAACAGAATTATTTATAATAGCAAAAAATTTTTAAGATGAATGATTAAAAAGATGGTATAGCTATTTAATAGAATGTCATAATCATAGAGAATTATGTATCTAAAAAAGAGTTTCTGAAATATATTTTTTATAGCATAGCATAGCATATTATATTCAACTAGAAGTCTGGGGGACATGGTTTTTTACTTTAAAACATCTTCAACATTTTGAATTTTGTACCACATTCATGTAACACATTCAAAAAATAAACACTATTTTAAAATGAAGTACTCAGCTTAAAATTTTAAAAATAGATTTATAAATATTTTTTAATGATCTGAGGAAATACTCATGATATACTAAATCAAAGGCAAGGGCATTTCATTATTTTCTGCAGTGGATATGTATAATTGGAAAATGTATATAGTCTGTATACTACTGTATTTTGTTCAATATTTTGCACCATAAGAAATCTGGGACCC